TCTCTCTCTCTCTCTCTCTCTCTCTCTCTCTCTCTCTCTCTCTCTCTCTCTCCTCTCTCCTCTCTCACTCTCTCTTTAAAAAAAAAAAAGGTGAATGCTAAGGAATTGCCACTGGTTTTGCTAGATATAATCACAGCATTATGTTTAGAACTTTTAAAAATAAGTCATTATCTATGAGATACATTCTAGAGTAGTTACAAATGAAATTATTTACTTTAAAATACTTTAGCAAATGAAAAGATTTGGGCACTAGATCAAATAAAATGGATTTATCCATTAGTGTTCATTAGATTACTCTTTTACTTTTCTGTGTGATTGAAAGAAGCTGTTTAAAATGAAAATTTGAAGGAGTTGAACAGCAGAGTCTTTGTTTTCATGTGACAATGACCCCAGATCTTGTGCACAGTTCATAATGGCAGTTAGTAAGGTTAACAGATATTTCACAGATCAGCCTAACATGTCTGCAGCCCCCAGCTCTGTGTCAGAAATACAGGGCTCCCAGGCTTCGAAGGTGTGCTGGAAGAAGGAGTGCTGACCTTGGTGCCCGTGCTCCAGGAACTTGAGTCAGACATACTTGAGACTTGGAGTAGAACCAACCCTGCAGTAAATGCTGATTAAAACTGAATCTTGGCTGGTAGCAAACACCCCATATTTTAAGGTGGGGATTTTATTTGCATCTCTCTTTCTTAGTTTTATGGGTTTGTGTTGAATCATCTCAGCCATGTGGTTAGATTTATTATTATTATTATTATTAYTACTGTCCCTAATAACACTAATTTATAGTAATATTAATTTAAAAATCTCTACAGTCATTTTTCCCAGGGCCTGCAGCCCTTTTTAGTAATTGTGATTATTCTTTTGATCATTTAACTAACCTGTCACTGCTAATAACTGCTGCTTTTCTGCTTGCTGAAATTGGCTGTCCCTTTGCCCCTAAACCATCTGAGGATCTGTCTCCTGGCTCCCTGAGCAGATGGGCTGGCACTGAGCTCTGCTCTGCTGTGCTGTGTGATGATAGCAAAATCAGTCCAACATTTTTCTGTCTCTCTTTTTATCCTGCAGCAGAAGTATTGGGAGGCCCTAAACTCGGAGCAGGTATGGACAATCATGCTGTCTCTCTCTTCCAGGAGGGACTTCTATGGCTTGATTTCAGCTTCTGTTTTTGTTAGAGGCTCTCGGATGATGGCACATGACAAAATCCATTAAAAAAAAAAAAAAGAAGGATGTAAAAATCAAGAGACAAGTTTGAGGACTAGCCGGGCTCTCTTAGTTCAGAGTCTTTTGCTTTGGGGGTATTCACATAAGCCCATACTATCCACTAGGGACTCAGAAAAACAGGCATAACCCAGTGAAGATCCATGGATTGGAACAGGGCCTATGAGCAAGCGAGAGTCGCCGTAGGTCACCAGTGGTAGTGCTGGTGTGACATGGCTGCAGCAGCTGATATGATAAACAGTTCCACACGTTTGTCTTTCTGAGACCTGGGGCACCTGGTTGCTGTCACCATGCCATCTTTGCCTCGCAGTAGCAGATAAGCACGTGTTTTATGACAACTGCCTGTGCCTGTCATCTCCCAGGATGGTTTCTGAGAGGAGAATAAATGCATTATCTTTTGTTCAAATTATTTTTATGACTGGTTTCCCACAATAGTTTTATTACTTAAAGTGAAGTTTTAACTGGGCACAGTGGCACATACCTTTAATCCCAGTCACTTGGAAGTCTGGAGCAGGAGGCTCACAAGTTCAAGTCCAATCTCAGCAATTTAGCAAGACCCTGTCTCAAAATAAAAAAAAATAAATAAATAGGGCTGGGGATATAGCCCAGTGGTAGAACATTTGCCTAGCATGTATGAGGCCCTGGATTCAATCCCGAGTACCATGCGGGAGAAAATGAAGTTGGTTTTTTGTTTGTTTGTGTTTCTTTCCTTCCTTTCTTTTTCTTTTTTCTTTCTTTCTTTTTTCTCTCTTTTTTTTTTTTTTTTTTTTGTACCAGAGATTGAACCCAGGGGCATTCAACCACTGAGCCACATCCCCAGCCCATTTTATTTTTTATTTTGAGAGAGGGTCTTGTCAAATTGCTGAGTCTGGCTTTGAACTTGTGATTTTCCTACTTCAGCCTCCCAAGCCCCTGAGATTACAGATGTGGCAATAAATGAAGTTTTACAACACATTATTCAAAAGAAAGGGATTTAAAATGTTGTCTAATACCTAGTTCATTTCAAAGAGTTCACTTGGTCAAAGTGGCAGGTTGTTTCTGTTTGCGGGCAGCTGATTTGGTCAGGATTAGCAAGAATAACTTTTAAGAAGTCATTTCAGCAATTGGAGCCATAGTTCTCAAACATCAGAGCATCTAAGAAATATCATAGGAACTTGTTAAAATGCCAAACTGCAGGTAGGAGCTGAGGTGAGTCCTCAGCATCAGTCTTTTTGAACAGTAGCCCAGGTCCTTCTGGTGGGGTTGGTCCAGAGTACCTTCTGAGAACTCTGATGTAGGACCCAGGCTTCAGCTCAAAAACAGCCTTCGTCAGAGAGCACACTTCCATCCTTTGAGAATGGAATGGGCCCATACTTGTGCCACTGGGCAAGTGGGTCACAGAGGCTGGCCAGCGAGCTCTGTTACTTGGAATCTTTGATAACATCAGGGAAGAATTTACTTAAAGGTGTCCAGCCAAGTCTACAACCACAAGTAAATAAGGAGTTCACACCAGGAGTGGCTGGTACAGCGSGCAGAACTGCATCAACTAATCCAGCTCATCTCCAGGCCTATAGGGTCACTGGGGGGTCTTTTTAACATGATGGGTTTTTAAATCATCAAGTAGTAGAAGTTGGTTCAATTATTATCAGTGAATTTCTAATTGAACCAGCTTTTCTTTTCAAAATAGAGACATAACGTGTGTTTTGTAACTGGCATGACATAGATGTTATCTGGGAGACCTTATTTGGGACCTCTAAGAACTAGACTGTTTGATTCAGCTCAAGTTTGAACATCCGGCAGAGTGTCTTTGTCAGACATAAATCTGGGGTCTATGACCTCTGCCAAATACATAATCCAGCCTAGTCTGCCACATTTTCCATCACTGTTGCTTGTTTCTGGGTTTCCCAGTACTGTCAAATGTGACCTCATGGCTCAAAATCATCAGATATAGAGGCTCAGAAATGTAAGAGGTCTTATTATCTAATTGTTGATCCAACCCTCAGCTTATGTACAGAGAAAATGAGACCCAAAGACGAGCAAGCAAGTTTGTGACAGAAGGAGGACTTGGCCCAGTCCCCACTTGTCTCTGGAGCTAGAACATCAAGGGTAGCACTAAGAATCCCTTGGGTCTTGACCATGTGCAAAGTTCTCTCTCTAATCCATCATCTGCAAACACCTTCATAAAGGCTATGTTCCAGCTTTTTTTTTTTTTAACTTTTTACCCTTACCCTTTCCCATACTTAACTGAGTCAGATGATGAAATATTCACTGGCAGTGCTCACGATTCTGAATTGGGTTTTAAGTGTTTATTTTTTCAGTGCCAGGGATTGAACCTGGGGGCACTTAAACCACTGAGCCACATCCCCACCCCCCCCCCCCCTTTTTTTTTTTTTTTTTGAGACAGGGTCTTGCTAAGTCTCTTAGGGCCTTGCCAAGTTGCTGAGGCTGGCTTTGAACTCATAATCCTCTTGCCTCAGCCTCCCAAGCTGCTGGGATTGCAGACATGCACTTACACCAGGCACAGTGGCTGAAGTGTTTATTTTTAACAAATCGTCTGGGCCTCAAATTGAGAGGAAACACCAAGTGAGAGCCCTGTTCTTCAGGAGTTCATCATCTCCCTAAGAGAACAAGGCAGATGTCCAAAGAAAGACTGGGGCCATCCATGTGCAGGTACGGATGAGTAGCAGATGTAATACAAAGAAAGAAGAAGCAGGTGCAAGCTCACTGGGCTAACACAGCCAAGGCAGGCTTCCTGCCAGAGGAGGTATTTCCTCTCAAGAGTGGGTTGAGGCCAGGTATGGTGGCACTTGCCTCAATCCCAGCTACTCAGGAGGCCGAGGTGGGAGGACTGAAAAGTTCTAGGCCATCCCAGGCAACTTAGCAAGACCTTGTCTCAAAATAAAATACATAAAATAAAAAGAGGGGCTATAGGTCACCGGAAGAATGCTTGCCTAGTACACATGAGGCTCTAGGTTCAATTCTTAGCATCACCAAAAAAAACAAAGAATGGGTCTTTTCCAAGAATGAATTAGGCATGGAGGTAGACATTTTCAAGATAAAGGGATCGTGTCTCAGACTCACTAGATAGGAATTTGCTGAATATGGGGGACAGTAGAAAGGAGGTGGCAAGGGAAATGGGGCTGGTCTTTTCAGGGTAATGGTTCATTAATTCCTTGATTTAAAGGTGTACTTGCTCTCTTTAGGTGCAGGAAACAGAGGCCTGGTTAACTTGACTTCGCCCAGTTGTCCTTGTCTTTGCCTGTGTCAGAACTAAGATTGAGTTGTTTTTTAGGGTACGGGATAGTAATAGATGGAAAGGACCTGTCCCACCAAAATAACTTTGTGTCTTTTCTTTACAGTGGGATCCTGAAGATGTCAACTTTGAAAGGAACAATGACAACATGGAGATCTTCAGATTCCAGGTGCCGAGGGGCTCTTTGACGACAGTAGACTTGACCTCTGCTGATTAGTATCTTCTAAAAACCAGTCCATCAGCTCAAAGACCAGGATGAGGCATTCATTAGTAAAACTGAGCAGAGATCGACCTACAGTGACACCCATAGCAGGAATTTAAGCCACTGAAGAAGCTGCCCAGGGAAGTGAGGAACCTGGAGCTTAGCGTGGCTGGTCTACCTGGCTCAGAATAAAACTAAGATTGTGGGTTCTATGGACAGACCTGGATATGCCATTTGTTCTGAAGATTAGAAGCTCACAGATGGCTCCTGCTTTGTAAAGATAAACCTTCATCCAAAGGACAATGGGCCCTCTTTTCCCGTCTTTCCTTTCCCTCTATTCCCATGAAATGCAACTGTAAATTCAGTATCTGCTGGATGCCAGGAATGAGTTCACCTAACAAATAGCTCATGTGTTTGGACCTCAGCAGAGCCTGTCCTGCAAGCCCTGGCTTCTGCCCTCCAGTATCTGCTGGAAGTTATCCATAGGACTGCTTGGTCAACCAAGTATCTGTGAGATCAGTGGTATGGCAAGCACAAGCAAAGCCAGTTGCTCTAAGCAAGAGGACTTCCTCCAGCCTGGCAACACGTGTGCGGAGGCAGGGTTTACAGGTGAGGGGCACTGTGTGCTTTAGGAGGTCACTGAGAGCATACAGAGGGTAATAGGTATGCTGGAACATGTTAATTCAAGCATAGTAACCCCATTTGAAGATGATTGGTAGGTGGTCACATGTGAGGGGAAGGGAGAAGGGAATGGGGCTAAGGTCGGAACAATCACTAGAGTGAATAAAATTTAACTGAGTGAATCAAAGCATCTCACACTGGAATATAGTGGTAAGTCAGAATCCCAGCAGAGCCACAGAAGTCTGCCATGAGGGGGACTGGGATAAATGCCAAGAAACACAGCTCTGCTGCTGGCTGGCTCACAGTGACCTGTGACTCAGCTGCAGCTGCCCAGTTTCTCCTAAGGGCATGTGCAAGTCCCGGCAGCATGAGGAAGGGGGTGCTGGGAAAGTGGGTTGGTTCCACAGGTCTCTGCATAGATCCTAATCCCCTGGGTGACCTCTGAACTAGCAGAAAACTCCAAGCTACTTATTCCATTTATCTGCTTTGGGTTCCTGGTTGTCTTATAAAAGAAYGATTGCTAAAGGCAACTTTGTTTTGTGGTCTTAGCCAATGCAGCTGTACTTTGAAAGAGGAAGAAGAGGTGMATAGAGGCCCAAGGCAAAGGGAGTTGAAGGGAACATGCCAGTAAGTGAAATGGTAGAAGCCTGGGGGCACGGAAGGGTGGAATCTAGTTGATGGTGCAGTGTGGATTGTAGAGGATAGAAGACACTGGAAAGGAAACGGAGCGTGGAGGCTAAGGAGTGGGTGCTTCAGTCTGTGGCTGATGCTAGCCATGGAAGATACCAAAGGGTGACTGACTTGCTCAGGGGCTCAGCTACTCAGTGAGTTTTTTACTTCTATTGCCACAGCTTTTCAGGAAACAGAAATGTATAGTCATATATGGAGTGAACATGGGGAACGTGTTTCATTTAAAGACTATTGAGTGGTAACCGCAAGCAGGAGGAGGGATCAGCTTGACAAAAGCAGAAGGCATAGGGATAGGATGACATTTCTGAAGTTCACCTTTAGCATGTGTACACACACTCACAAACATTTTCTCAAAGGGAGGTTGGATCATGCTCCCTGGGGTATCAGAATCCCTTGAGTCCTCATAGGAGTGGCCATTCTCAAGAACACTAAATGTTCTTGCTGCCTTGGAGTAGCACAAACTATTTCAGCTCCAGATGCTATTTATCTCCGTATATCCTATCATCCCAGTCTTTTCCCTTCACAAACCAGTTACTATCATTATGGTCCCAGATTGTCTCAAGTCTCTTCATCCACAGTGAACCACCCTGGGARTTTAGGAAGTAAAGTTTGGCTTTATTGTTTAGTGAGAACCTGCCTRTATGCAAAGCTCTAGAACCCCAGGACTTTTGTAAAGAGGTACCAACCAAAACGACTTTCTCCTAGTAGGAGAGCAGCTTCATTTTTAGCTATTACTCTGGCCACAAAGACTATGGAAGGTCCTTGCCCTGAGGACCCACTAAGCAGTGCAAAGAGTTACCTCCACTGGAAGGGCTGGGAACAAATCATGCAATCATCCTATCCAGAGAAGAGATGGTGTAATATGTCTTAGTTGTCTTACCTATTATCTACATGGCCCAAAGCATGTTACCTAACCTTTGTGAATTCTTAAGGCAGACTAGGAAACCTCCCTAGAAAGCTTATGGTAATGACTAAGTGAATTAACATAAATGAAGTGCATTATACCTGACTAACAGCAGATTTTGAAGAGTGATTAGTTTCCCTCCTCCCTATATTTTTGGACACATATGCTGAAAGACAGTGAAACCAAAGAATCAGATCCATAGATGGAAGGGATTTCAGAGATTTGGATCTCCTTAAGAATAACCACAATAAGTGATTATCCAGCCCCTGCTTACACTCATCTAAAGAAAACAACAACAGAGATTTCATCTGCCAAAGAAGTTTGTATAATTTAGGGAGAATTCTGATGACTCTAATTATCTAAAGAGCCTGTATAGAGCCTGAAGAACTAGTTTTCTTATGTCCCTCTGATAATTCAGTAAATGCATCATCTGATGATATATTCACATCATGTTTGTTACAGTAGACATGAGCTACTAGTTTAAGGACAGGTATTGGGCCAAGGAGTATGATGAGGCTCCATTTCCCAGGTCTGATTCAGGGTAATATTTGTCATTTCCCGTTCTGGGTCAGTTTCCTCATTTATAAAATGAAAGCTAGGTTAGATTTATTTCTTCTTTTTTKGTGAATATGCCAGTTAGTATGTTTCCCACAGACAAACGGACATTTTTATAAACGCTCAGAAAAGAAACATAATGTTAAAGACAAATTTCAGATATGCCTTGAAGATATCCATTTAAGATGAATACTGGTGCTGGGATGTGGTTGAGTGGTGGGGTATGTGATTGGCATGTGCAAGGCCCTGGGTTCAACCCTCAACACACACACACACACACACACACACACACACACACACTTCATTACCATACTTCCCAAATTCTCTGCACTCCTTTTTCTGCCCTTTACCATTCTCCTTCAAATTTTCCAACTATGCAGGCACTGACCTATTCTCTTGGACTTTGTTTTTTCTGAAGTTAAGGTCAATGCCCTGGCAGAGGTGGCTGTTTTGAATGAACCCAAGCTATACTGCAGTGCCCAGGAAGAACTCTTCAAGAAGTTTACATATGCCTCTCCTAGTATTCAAGAGTCATCACGTGAGAGGGACGATCTTAAGAAGTTCAAGAACGATACTAGATAAAATAACTTAGAAGTCTAATCTGCTTTTTCTTGATATCTAACCCTGAAAGCCAAACAAACCATGGGACATTCGGGACTGCTCCTTTCTAGCAGAGCAAGTCATTAACCAGCGTTAACTTCCAAGAACCTCCGTTGATTGATTGCCTGGAGAATTCGGCACGCCCTCCCAATTCCCTAGGGCATTTTCCATCAGCGCTTGGTAGTGGCAGGAGGCTCAGGTCTCCTCTTGCTAGTCCTCACTCAGGGTCTGCAGCTATGACGGCTGAGGGGTCTGTMTCCTGCAGAGCGCCTTCTCTCGGCAGTCCCCAGGGGGATCGTTCACAACCGCCTGAGGGCCAGTCGATGGCCTCCCCAAAAGAAGGGTGATGGCCCATTGTCCATATGAGTGGGAACTGAACCACGTCTCCCCACGCCTACCTCCTGGGAGAACCGGCCACCGGCACACAGCAGGTAGCCCATTCAAACCTCTCACCTCGTACTTCCGGGAAGAGGGGAAGAGGCGCAGCCCTGCGCGTGCGCACTCCGCAGCCACCGTCTCCCGCTGGGAGTGCGAGTCCAGCCCCCGCAGCTTTCGGGCTCCTGCCAGCGCAGCCGCGGCCCGGGAGACCACCAGCGGCTCTAGCTGCTGTAAGTCTGTCTCCTCTGAGTTTTTAGGGAGTTAGTCACATAGTTATTTTTTGGTTCCTAGTGTAGTTGGGACCAATCAACAGCCTTAGCCTGCACTGTAAACCATTCTTTGAGTACACTTTAAAAATTTTTTGAAATAAATATAATACAGGTGCGTGGTTTAAAAAAGAAAATCAGATCCGACCAAGTTTATGAAGAACAACAATTCCCTGGCCCTCCGTTCCCAACCTGCTTACTTCTTTCCTTCCTCGCAATCACACTTGCTCATGTTCCCAAAGTGTTTTGTCCAACTRTCTTCTCCATTGATTTTTTTGTTTTGTTTGTTTTGCTGGTGTGAAACCCTGGGCCTCACTCAAGCACATAGGGTTCCATTAGTTTTGAATTGGAACCAAGCTGCTGTCAACAAAGTTCTAAGATTATAGTTTTTTAGCTAAATTATCTCTAACTTCCATTAACTACAGGCTAATGAGGTACAGTAGGTGGGACAGGGATACTGGCATGTTGAGAATGGTGTTAAGAACTGTCTACACATCTGCAGGTTACTGCGGAGTCCTTTGTACCACTAGAACCCAGTTTCTGAGTCCCAGGTTACTGGATCTGAGCCCACTCCAACTGACATCTGCCTTCAGGACAGCCTGGCMAGTTCTACCTATCTACTCTGGATTTGACCTTTCCCTCTATCCCTCTACCTCTTCTCCTGCAGATATCTTAGTCCTTGGAATCTCCTGTGGAAAACAGGGTTTTCTAACCCCACTACCAGAACAAAGGACTGTATACACTTTCACCACTACAGTCTTTCCCAAGGACAGCCTGGCCACGAGTGAAGAAAGCCATTTCATAGGCCTAATGTTTTAACCATCACACTTTGTGAAATGTGTACCTAAAGCTCTGATATTCAAATATAGGTTCTTAAGCTCCAGCCTAGGTCTGGACAGGGCCTGGGAACCTTAAGCTCCTCAMGTGATTCTGTCACAGAGTATAGAGGACCACTCTTTGAGAAACACTGTCCTTAGGAAATCAATTTAAAACTGATCTATTTGTGTAAGAAGATGTTCCCATGAAACTACTTAAAATAGGGGGGGGAAAGTAATAAGTACCCCATGATTGGGAAACATTAAACATTACACCTTTATTTTTATGTATGTGCAGTATTGAACCCAGGATTGAACCCAGGGGCTCTCTGGGCTAAGTTACATCCCTAGCCCTTTTAATTTTTTGAGACAAGTTCTCTGTAAGTGGCCTGGCTGACCTCAAACTTGTAATCCTCTTGCTTCCCAAGTAGTTGAGATTACATATGTGAGATATCATGTTCAACTTAATAGTATAATTTAATGAAATTACATTTTGCCTTGAAGTCTAAAAGATTGTGGAACAATAAACTGAGGTACATACCTGAATTGCCTTGAAATTATTTGRTGCGATGCCAGAATGCAAGTTATTCTGATAATGAATTTCTAGTTCTCACATGGTGAAAAAAAAATCCTTTTTTAAAAAAAAAATTATTGTGGTGGTGGTTATAAAGTTGTATGTGTGTTTGAACTTCTGAGGAGGCAGGATTGAGACACTGAAAGGCTGAGCCAACTCCGMGTGAGCAGAGTGGCAGAGGATGTTTTTGATAGCACCCTAACCAGGAAACAGATTCCTGTGGGCAAGCAGTGACTCACCCCCCAGTCTCAGTGAGTCAACAGTGTCCTAAGGGAGCCAGGGCTGGCAGCCCTCTGCTGCAAGGGATGTAAGCAGAGCCTAGACTCAATCCAGGATATCAGTGTGACAGATCAGGGGTGGCAGAACAGATCCCAAGGAGTGGAAAGGGAGCTGAATCCTTTGAATGGGTCAGGTTAAAAAAAAAAAAAAAAAAAAACAGCTACAAGATAAAGCARGTTAAAAAAGAGAGAAAGAGAGAGAGAGAACACAAGCCAGGGCAGTGGCGCATTCCTATAATCCCAGCAGCTTGGGAGGCTGAGGTAGGAGAATCTCAGGTTCAAAGCCAGAGTCAGCAATTTTTGGACTCCCTAAAGCAACTTAGCAAGACCCTGTCTCAAAATAAAAAATAAATCAAAAGGATTGGGAATGTTGTTCAATGGTTAAGTACCCCTGGGTTCAATCCCCAGTACCCACTCCCCCTATAAAAGATAGAACACAAGAGAGCATGTGCCATTATTAGTAATTACAAGAGAAAATTTATTAGTATCAGAAATCATTAGATT